TGATATTTATTTTATTTATTACTTGTTTAATAAAACATGGTTCCATACAATCATGAATGTATCTTGTCTATTATTGTGGTCACATAACATACAGTGGAATGCTTTATTTGCACTTGCATATTATTTTCCCTGTTTTACCTGAAGTCAATTTTCTGCAAAATAAATTCCAGTGAAAATGCAGCTTTCTCTATACGTTGCATTGAGTCTTAATACAACATAGATCCACACAATGCCAGAAAGCTGTTTTCAGCAAAAATAAATTCCAGAGAAAATAAAGTATTTTACAGTAGTCAGCAATATTGCAAGCAACTTTTAACTTTTAACTTTCTAACAATGTTTCTGTTTTAGTCTGTAAAATGTATTTAAACTAAAACAGCTAAATTGTCAGAGATGTTGCCGTATTTGCTCTATTAGTAGCGCATGCTCTTATGTAAATAACAGGTGTTTCTATGGTCAAAATACACCATATTTTAATAAATCAGTATACAATCAATGCAATTGTTGTCGTACATGTGCTTCTATTGGAGATGCTCTTCTAATAGAGCATATATGGTATACAATCTAAATGCAACCAGAGTGAAATTGTTTTTGAAATTAATATTGAAATGCAGATATTAATTTTCCCTCTGCTATTAATTAATCCACAAACCAGAATCATTGACATCCAATTATATATGACCTAGTTTCTTCTTGTACTCTGTGCCCCCTTATCTTGGCAGGAAGAATTGGCATATTCTTATGACGCAGTAATTCAAGTGAATCTACCGTGTTTAGAGATGACACAACAACAGCTGATGGAAACATTTTTTTCCCTATGTCATATAGTGACAAATATTTTTTTACACTGGTGAAGCAAACATTTTTTTTTGTTGAAGAACCCTTCACTTCGCAATTTTTTTTTTAATTCTGACCCTCCCTCAAAAATCAAATGGTTCAACCCTTAGGCTTTCGAAACGTATACGCTAAATTACGGTTCTGAATGAGACAACAGTCAGATAATGCTTTATTCAAAAACGTCGTCAAACCATTCTCGCTATAACTCTAACGATTCCAATTTA